GCTGGTCCTTTGCTGGTTTATGCTGGTCCTTTGCTGGTTTAAGCTGGTCCTTTGCTGGTTAAAGCTGGTCCTTTGCTTGTTTATGCTGGTCCTTTGCTGGTCCTTTGCTGGTTTAAGATGGTTCTTTGCTGGTTTATGCTGGTCCTTTGCTGGTTTAAGCTGGTCCTTTGCTGGTTAAAGCTGGTCCTTTGCTTGTTTATGCTGGTCCTTTGCTGGTTTATGCTGGTTCTAAGCTGGTCATGTGCTGGTCTTAAGCTGGTCGGACCAGTTTAGTACCAGCACATGCCAGCTAAACTTAAACCAGCAAGGGACCAGCATAAACCAGCAAAGAACCATCTTAAACCAGCTCAAATCAGCATCCCAGCTTCAAAACATACCTAACCAGCATATGCTGGTTTTTTCAACAGGGCTGACAGAATTTGATGTGAAATGTTCACGCGATATTATCGTAATTTTACATTCCGACTACTATTCACTATTCACGTCCTCGTCCTTTTTATGAGCCGTTTTCCGAAGCTTTCTCACTTAAGCACATCTTGCACTCTATAGCCTAATGTAATCTATTAACTACGCACATCATAACGTTTTAGGCAAGTAGGCTAGCATATTATGACAAAATATTTTAATAAGACTGAATTTGTATTTAACCTGATCACGTTTAATAAAAATAAATTTTAAGTTTCATTAGTGCCGCATGTCCATGATTATTCAAACAACGAACAAATTATACAGCGAGCAAAGAACATTTACATTATCAAAGAATATCACTGAATTCAGTCTAGCGTAAGCACTCTAAAAAAAGCTATAAGTTATAATCAGTGATGTTGTCTGCAGTGTATGATGAATTCATCTCTTATTTACATCACATGTACAGTGCTGTGAAAAGGTTTTTGCCCCCTTCCTGTTTTTTGTTATTTTTTGCATATTTGTCACACTTAAAAGATTCAGATTATCAAACAAATTTTAATATTACACAAAGATAATGCAAGTAAATACAAAATGCAGTTTTTAAATGATGATTTCATTTATTAAGGGAAAAAAGCTGTCCAAACCTACGTG